TTCTTTTCATTCAAAGAACAGAAAAGAGGCCCAGCTATCTTGAAGGCATCTCTTCATATCTCCCCTCATATCATCCCCTTCATATCTCCCCTCAAATCTACCCACTCCCTTGACAAGGCCCACAACCACTGGCCTCTTCTTCAGACTGCCTGGTGTATTCTGTGAGGCAGACTCAAGCTTGGTTATGAAGTTTCAAGTCAGAAATCTGGCCAGATCTGGTTAGATGAAAGATAACGCAGCTAAAAGAAAAAAAAAAAATCCAACTCCCCTCAGCACCCAGCTATCTCCGAGGGACTTGTGCCCTAGTGGAAAGTAAGCCACACCTACATTCTTTAAACCTCTACCACAGACAGCAAACTAAGAAGGAAACAAAACCACTCAAAAGAACAAGGGACCCAGACCCTGACGCCCAGCTTTCACCATCAGGAAACCTTAATAATGGCAAACCTACACATTGCGGTAGAAGGAGCACTAAATTGAAAGCGAGACCATGAAGATTTGAATCCTGGTTAGATTCCTTCTGTGTTCATGTTTTAGTCAAACCTCTTTGTGCCTCAGTTTTCTCATCTGTAAAATGAGAACATCGTATTAAATCAGTGGGGTCAAACCTTACACAAGGATCTCTCTGGGCTATCTACATTTTATTGTATTTTAATTGTATTATATATTGTTTTATTGCATTGATTTGGTTAAATATTTCCCAATTCTATTTTAATCTCATTCAGTGGCATTCAGGTGTGTTGTGGGCTATCTTTCTAGCTCTAAATTTCACACTTCACAAATTCGCCCATTTATATGGCATTTAAATAATTGCTTTCAGGTTTGCAAAGCACTTTACAAACCTCATCTCATCTGATCCTCACAACAACCCTGTGAGGTAGGTGCTATTATTATCCCTGCTTTAGAGATGAGAAAACAGGCTGAAAGAGGTTAAATGATTGTCCAGAGTTGCAAAGCTAATAAATCATCTGAGGCTAGATTTTCACTCAGGTTCCCCAGTCCAGCATTCTATCCACTGTACCACCTAGCTATACAGGTTAGGCACCCGGGGACAGTAGAGGCAGAATAATAGATCCAGATCTGGAAGAGACATCAGGGACCATCTCGTCTATCTCCCACATTTTACAGATGAGGCAGGTAAGTGCTTTGCCCAAGGTCATACGGTAAACTTCTGAGGCAGAATTTGAACCCAAGATCTCTGACTCCAGAGTCAGTACTCTTTGAGAGAAGTGGAAAGGTGTGGGTGAGTTCTTGTCCTTTGCACTAAGAGCTACAGTAGTTTGTTTTGTATGGTCTGGACCCATATAGTTATCTCTCTGAGAATGAAAGTTAAACTTGACCAGTGTTTGATAGGAGCTTACAATAACTCAGGACAGATTTTCAGGGAAATAGAAAGTAAAGACCAGTTGATGGGGAAGAATGAACTGGGAAGAACTATAGAGAGAAATGTTTAGTAAAGCAATTGGAGACTCACAGAGGCTTTTATAAAAACCCAGAATGTGAAACTTTGACCTCAGTTTGGAGCTGGCAGCAGTCCCAGTAGAAGGCTATAAGGCCAGAGGCTGCTTGCACTAATCTCAGGGAAGACTTCAATACAAGGCAGAAAGCCAGGAATTTGGTTGGAAAGCCAGATGACAGGCCTTATAACCAAAAGGAGACACTCAGGCTGAGGACTCTTCACCAACAGTTCTGGCTGTAGCTATTACAAGGATCCACTTATTGGGTGTCCATGGGTGGTTGGTGAGGCAGGGGTGGCAGGGAAGGAGTAGACATGGAAGAAACTGTGACCAACATGATCATGTGAGGCATTTCGTCTTCCTGGAGACTTTTTTCCTCTAGAGGAAGTAAATTCAATCTTCCTTTTCTCCCCATTTGCCAATACCCCATCTGAATTCCATTGTCCCATTCCCTTGGCTTAAAACTCCCAACACAATTGGAGTCTTTTATGTAGACAAGAAGGATGAACAGCCTCTACCCAAAATTAGGAAATCCCAACTAGTTTTCCATCTAGTCTGACATCTTTGGGAGGCTCACTCTCAGGGGAGGGACAGTCCCAGTTCTATTAATGGCTGAGCACACCACCTACTGAAAATGTGAGAACAGGAGTCACGTTATGGACTTAGCAACATACAGCATGACGTAGAGTATTAATCAATGGATTGCTCAATAAACATATTAAACATGATGTGACAGGCACGGTACTAAGTACTGGGGATCCAAAGAAAGGCAAAATCAGTCCCCGACCTCAAGACACTTACATTCTGATAGGGGAGACAACATAAAAAGAGGTACATACAAAAGACACAGAGTATGTTTAGTATCTACAAAGAAGAAGGAAGATAACCTTAAAGGGAAAGCTCTAGCAGTTGGGAAGCCCCTGTAGAGGGTGACATTTGAGTTGACTCTTGAAGGAAGTCAGGGATTCTAACAGGAAGAGGTAAGTAGGGAGAACATTTCAGAAGCGTAAGACAGACACTGCAAAGGCAAGGAGAGCAATGTGTTATGAGAAACAGCCAGTATACTGTAGAGGGTGTGGAGAGAATAGAATATAGGAAGATTGATAACGGTAGAATGGGGTCAGATCGTGAAGGATTGAAGAAGAAAAAATGAAAAAAGAACAAACAGGCTTTCACAAATAATATTCAACAGCAGACCAAAGATAGGTGCTGGGGAGACTATGACTGGGAGAGGCAGGGTGGATTAAAGGGCCAGTTTTGAAATCAGCAAACTGCCTGTGATCTATACTTGCCCCATGATTATGCCCATAGTCATTTAACTTCTCAGTGACTCAGGTAACTCTATCAAATAGTGATGTGTAAGGTTGAAAGGATTTTTTACAAGAGTTCCCTATACTGATTGACTGAAAAACACAGAGGATATAAGACACAAAAAAAAAAAATTTTTTTTTTGACTTGGTAAGGCAAAACGCAGCCTTAAAGGGTGTCTACTCCAACAAGGTGCTTCTCTTTCATGTTTGAGATCAAACAAATTTCCTTGATGGAAACATCAGTAGTCACATCAATTGAAGTACAAAACAGAAAGGTAAGGTGCCAAAGCTATTTGTCACTGTCATAGAAGACAAAAAGAAGAGGGAATGTAACCTATAGATAGTCACGTTCTTCAGAAGTTCCTATCTGCCAATAACACAATGCCGATGGCACCTATCTTCATTTCTGGCATCTAATCCCTTCCCTCCACCAACACAATGTTTGCCCTAGTAGAAGGCCTCCTCTCTTCTTGTCTAAACTTTTGCCTTCTAACAGATCTTCTTGTTTCCAGTCTTTCCCTCTCTCCAATTCATATTCCACACAATTGCCAAATTATTATTTCTAGAACATAAATCCAGCCGTGTCACTCCTCTACTGAAAAAAAAATCATCAGGGGCTCTCTGTTGTTCTTAGGATAAAATACAAAATCCTCAGGCTGGCATTTGAAGACCTTCAATGTTGCTCCTGCCTTACCAGTCTTCCTTGATATCATTCCTCTTCACACACTCTCCATTCTCATCAAATTGATGCACTAACTATTCCCTGTACATGACATCCAATCTACTGCTTCCCTGACTTTACCCAGCTTTCCTCCCATAGCTGGAATGCCCTCCCTCTTCACCTCTGCTTATTAGAATACCTCACATGCTGCCTATGGCCTTTGCTAACCACCCCAATTGTTGATGCTTTCTCTGGCTTCAAATTTCTTTGCATTATATTTATCTGTGTATATATTGTATCCCCTCAGTAAAATGTAAACTTCTTTGAGGACAAGAACTGGTTTGAGTGTGCCTTTGGTGCCCAGCACCTAGCATATGCCTTGTATGTAGGAGTTGCCCCCAAAATGATTAATGAACTGAAAAACCCAGGTCTCCTATAGCGCTGCTATGTTCCTTCTGCTACATTCACAGCTACCTCCCAATTCTTAACGATGTTTGTTCCACTCTTTCTAGATGAAAGATAAATTCTCCTTGATGAAGCCAACCAGAAATTGATTTGTCTTGCTTTCTCTGTCCCATTTTTGTCAGTTCCACCCCCACTTCTCTTCCCACATACACAAGCTGCTAAAACAAGACCTCCAAACCTTGACCTGGAAACAACCTTGGCGGCCAAAGTGTTCCTTCACGGAATTGACACACCCTGCAAAGGGACAAGTCGGCTGGGCATGGGAGAGAGGGAAAGTAGGTGAGGACAACTGCCAAGTCCAGAGCGCCCAGAAATAATGTAGAGGACACAGTACTTAGCAAGTTCTAGGGAATGGGCCAAAACAAAGATATATAAAATGCCCAATCCTGGGCCACTCCTCACCCCACCCCAAGCTGGAAGCCTAGTGTGAGCCATGGAGTGCTGCCCAGAACCCCTCCCCCCATCTCCTTTGGCTGAGATATGACCACCAGAAAGTTAGGAACCCGAATGCTTTTGGAGGAAAGTTAGATATATAACAGCCTCTGGCCTTTCTAACCCGACCTGACTCGCCTACTCCCCAAGCGCTGAGCCCTACGTCCCCTGCCTTCTAGGAGGTCAGATCCTGGGCTTCGATGGCAACAGAGGGGATCGTTCTCTGGTTAGGCGAGTAGAGCCAAAGCCTCAGCTGCAGGCGGGCCGAGCCCGGGTAGGGCCAGGGTGGAGTGGGCTGAGCGGGAGAGGGAGGAACGTCCCGCCAGCCCAGTCCAGAGCTCCCTTAGGCAACTTCCTGGGATCTCACGGTCATATACAGGGAGCTCCCAGTCCCAGCAAGAACACGGCACCCAGCTGGCCAGCGGCTACGGAGCCGTGGAAACTCTACCGACTTGCGGTGCGGTGCGCTAGCCAGACAGCCAGCTCGCTCCCTCTCGGGATTCCCTCCCGTGGCCGCAGCCGGGCGCACCCGCGCCCACGCCCTCCGGCATCTCCCCCGCCCTCGCGCTCCCCGCCTCCGCCTCCTCGTCTACCTCCCTCTGTCCTTCCCAGGACAGCGGCGGCGCCGGCTAAGGTAGGAAGCCGAACTAACCCAGCCTGCCGCCTGCCGCCTGACCCCCGCCCAGGCGCATCTTCTCCAGAACCGCCGCCGCCGCCGCCGCCGCAGCCGCACAGGTAAGGTGACACTCAGGCTAAAGGATACTCATCTAGATTCTGGCACCCTGGAAGCTTCCAGGGACGGCTGGGGCCGGTGGACACCTAAATCCTGACGAAGTGCGAAGGGAGGAGGTGCGGGACCAAGGGAACATCAAGCCTTACCGGAGAGAATCTTTCCCCAGGAAAGCTCAGGCACCAGAGCGCAGTCAAGCGCAGGAAAGGGTGTGTGTGGCTCTGAAGGGGACCGACACGAGGAGAAAGGCAGTGGAAAGGAAATCAGAACTGCGTTCTAATACCACTTCTGCCCTGGTTACCTGGCTCAACCCTTGTCCTATTCCGTGCCTCAGTTTCCCTAGCTGTGAATAGTGAGTGACCACTTGCCTAACGATTTGGCCTTATTGAAGTCTCGTAAAGCTAACCAAAAGAGAGCTTAGTCATGAGAAAAACAGAAGAGGGGAATGGGAATGAAAAGAGAATTCTGCCCATCCCAGTGTCTCATCTCTGGACGTCACTCACTTAACCCAGCCAAATCAGATGTCCACAATAGCGATGGCGGGGGGGGGGGGGGGGGGGGGGTTGGGACGAGCGGGGAGGGCAGAAGAATTCTATCCTGTTGAAATTTTCACCAATCCCTTTGCCCAACTATCCTTGGAAATTAAAAGTGCTTGCATTAAGTAGTTAATAATAAAAAACCAGAGGGCAAGATACAGAAGACAGCTATGAACAGGTCCGGAGTATACACTTCTGGAGATGCTTAGAAGAACATACACCACCACCACCCCCACACACATACACACCAGATTGTGTGTGTGTCCCGAGTCTGCTCTCCTGGCTTGGAAGAGGTAGAGAGTTGCCTCAATATTCTGTTCTGGTTCCTGGCATTGTCTGTGTTTGTGTATGCAGTGGATTAAACCGAGGTTGTAGATTGTGGGTATAGTGTTGACCGTAAGGCATATCCTTGACTTGAAAAATAACAGGATGGTACTGTGCTTTTTATATCTTCTTGGGATCCTAGAACTAGAACTGGAAGGGACCTGAGAGTCCATCTAGAACAAACCTCCTCCAAGAAGTATTCCAACTCCAGCCCCTCACATTAATTCTTTTATTTATCCACAAATTATCCCTATGTGGGGTATTTTTTTTTCTTACAGGAGGATAAGCTGAGACAGAAAGTTAATTAAGTAAGCAGCAGAATGGGTTCTTCAGACCCAAAATAAAAACAGCAAAAATGCTACTCTGGTTCAGCCACGAGAGCCATCATCCAGTCTAGGATTTTGTTTGGCCTATAAGTAGAACCCTTTGGGAGAGTAGGGTAATATAGGGAAAAGAAGACAAGGAGTCAAAAGGCTTGAATTATAAGCCAGCTTTGCTACTAATTATTTTTATATGTTTATAATATTATTATTTATTTATAATATTTATAATAATTTTTAAATTTATTTTTAATTTGAGTTCCAAATTCTCTTTCTCCTTCCACCCCCTCCTCAACTATTTGAGAAATCTGCAACTATTTCTCTGTGTAACCTTGAGTAAATAACTTCTCTGGGCCTTAGTTTCCTCATACAAAAGGATTAGGCTAGATGATTTATAAGGGCTTCTATGTATTTGAAAAACTAGGATTCTATATATGGTTTCTCCTTATCAAACTCTAAGATCAGGATAGGGAGTAGGGATAGGGACCCAACCTGTGATTTCATTGGTACAGGGACCCTGAAATTCAGCAAGCCTTTACTAAGCAGTTCCTGTATACTACGCACTTTGCTAAGCCCTGAGGATAAAAGGAAAGGCCAAAAACAAAAAAAAAAGTCTCAAAGAACTCACATTTTAGTAGGGTAGAAAGTATGCAAACAATTCTATATATACAAGATATAGACAGTGTAAATCAGAGGTAATCTCAGAGGGAAGATGCAAGCATTGAGGGGAACCAAGAAAGGTGTCTTGCTGCAGAAGGTGGGACTTCAGCTGAAATTTGAAGGGAAGCCAGGAGGTGCAGTTGAGGAAAGAGAGATTCCAGGACAGTCAGTGAAAATGCAGTCAAGGAACAGCAGAGGAAGCCATTGTCACTGCTTTGGAGAGTATGTGAAGAGAAGCAAAGCGTAAGAGGACTGGAGAAGTAGGAAGGCAATGAGTTATAAAAGGCTTTAAAAGCCAAACCAAGGTGATAGGGAACCACTGGAATTTACTGAGTAAGGGAATGACTTGTGTTTAAGGCGGAAAAAAATTATTTTGTCAGCTGAGGAGAAGATGAATTAGCATGGTGAGGGACTTGAGGCAAGGAAACCAACCAGAAACAGTTGGCTAGGCAGGAGGTGATTTGGCTCCGCTCCAGAATTGGTGATAGTTGTCAGAGAAGAAAAGGGGTCAGAAGTAAGGAAATTCTCTCACCAATGTAGGTCAGCACTTTCTCGGCAGCTGATAGCCAAAGAAACTAGCTGCCTATAGCATTAAGAGATTAAATGACTTGCCCCAGTTGATATAGTCAGTATGTGCCAGAAACAGGACCAGAACCCAAGTCTTCCTGGCTTCTCCTGCCTTTCTCCACTTTTCTAGGCTTTCCACAAGGTTAATGACAGCTAACTTTACCTATTAACCCACTATGAATCTGTTATTCATTTTTTAAAACCATTTTTGTTACTAGTTACTTTTCAGCCTACCAATACATCATAAGATAATGAGTTCTATAAATTTACCATCTACTGGGTGAACTAGGACTGTCTTCTGTCTTAAATTCATCTCTCTCAAACTACCAGGGCTTCCTCCACCTTGACCCTTAACCCCACACCCCTTCCTGGAGTGCCCGGCTTCTCTGATTTGGGGAACAATGCATGTTCTCCATGCCCTTCTCTGCTTGTCTGTAAGACTCAAAGCAAACCCAGCTTTTTCTCACTTTCAAGCTCATGTGTCCTGAAACTAAGGGAAGATGCAGAAATGTAAATGTACTTACATACATACTCAGATAACAATCAGTGCTCTTTCCAAGGACCAGAACCACTGCTTCTGCTCTAAGGATTAACGGCTCCCCTGTGGGAGCAGGGCTTCTAGAAAAAAATATCTGAGCAGGTCTTTTCAGTGAGGTTTTTATTGGTAAAAGGAGACGGAGTTGGGGGAAACTTTGAATTCCCAATTATCTTCCTTTATTCTACTTGTGCACTCCACTAAAAAAAAGTTTTATTTTTGTCATTAGTTTTTATTCCACAGTCATCCCCCCACCATGTAACAAAGAAAGACATTTAAACAAAAAAAAGGTCAATTAACCAATTAGTAAACCTTTATTGAGTGCTCCTATTACATGCCAGGAACTATGCTAAGTGTTGGGGCTATAAAAAGACGCAAAAGAAAGCAATGGGATCTACCAGCATCTACCATATTCCACATCCAAAGTCCACTGCCTCTTCAATGAGGATAGAGAGGTGTTGTCTTTGGCTCTCAAGCCTAAGATTGATCATTAAAGTTTAACCCTAAATTCAATCATGTACCACATTTGGTTTAACTGTTCTCCAACTCAGTGAAATTCACTTCAAATTCACATTTTTAAAGTGTTAACTATGTGCCAGGTACTGTGCAACAAAACTGTAATAGTCCCTGCTGTCAAAGGATCTTATGTTCTCTTGGGGACATGCAATCAATGGATGCCTACTCTGTTTACAATTCTTTTCCTACCACCAAAAAAAAAAAAAAAAAAAGTACAGCCTGACTAGCAGTAGTAGGCTCAGCCCTACAATCTAACTATCTGTACCAGACCTTTAGAGGGTAAGTCAATTTGCCCCAGGATGGGATGAATGGAACATCTGAAGCTCATTTGAAAATCTTGGTCAGCTGAGACCTGAGTTGATCCTTGTGCTAGTTCCATCTATTAAAAAAAAAATTATCCTTTGGAGTGGCTCCTTGCCTGAAAACAGAAATCCTTAGACTCAAAGGCTGGAGTGTTAGGGAATAGTGTTATCTTTGACCGAGAATGACACGCCCCACCACGTGCTAGCCAGAAAAACCTGTGCTCCTGGGTTGAAGAGAAGGGATGAGACTATTTAGGGAAGAGATTCACACTCATTGACTGTCATCTTACCAAAACATACATACATGCAATCCTTCCCCTTTCTTTCTCCACACATTATGTCTTAACTTTTGTCTTGCCATTGGACTTCAATGAGTCTGGAAGAGAGAGTGAGACTGGTGACTTTGTGCAACTCTGGATCACTTAAATCCAATTCACATACCAGTCAAGACATCACCTTGTAATGAACAACAACCCAGTGGGAGCATGAGTAAAGCCATGAATGTGTGATTTGCTTTGAAAGGAATAGGTTTTACATATCTCAAACCTTTGTTTACCCTTCTGTCCTCTTATAAGCATAGCTCTGCTTAGCAATAAGCCTCCTCCCCAAAATATTCCCAGGCTTATCAGCCTGACCTTATTAATTATGCCCACCCTAATTCACACCACAGAGATGTTCCAGGAGGGAAATATTTGGTTCTGACAAATTCCAACCTGCTGATCTTGAGAGGCTGGGGCATGATTTGTCTCCTCCTGTATTCACTGAGATGCCCCTTGGGTTTCTAAAGATAATTCTAGTTTCTAAGTTGTTTATTCGTCTTTGTAGCCCTATCACTTTGCCTAGTGCCTTGCACTAGGCACTGCAAACAAACAATCAACAAGCATTTATTAAACACTTATTAAGTGTTCAGAACTATCCTAGGCACAAAGATAAAAAGAACTCTGATTAACTTAGCCTATTCACCCTCTAAGATGCCTCATTCTCGGTGGCCCTGTACTCTGATTGGTGAGCTCTTCTTGGAAACTCCATTTTGAGGTTCTATTTTGAACTGGCCTAAGCTAGCCCTATATTCATTCCTTCACTCCTCTCCTAGTCATGCTCAGTCCTGACTCTCCAGATTTCTCCTCCATTCCCTGTTATTGGTACATCCTGCTTTTCCATTCCCTTTTATATATGTTGTCTTCCCCCATTTGAGTATAAGCTCCTTGAAGGCAGGAACTATCTTTTTTGCTAACCCCAACACTT